GACAGAGTACTAATGAATACAGACAGAGCAGGCAGGCAGACATGTAGCATCACACTCTGTCTCCTCAAATGCATCAATACTGCCTTAAGAGAGAATAAACAGACATACAGAGGTAAATGTGGGAGAGACTGTGACAGTCCCTTCAGTCATTGAACAAGAAATTCAAATGCTAAACAGATAAGGTATTTACRCAAGTTTCTTGCTGTCCATCATTGACATCAAGACAGTTTCACTCAGTACAAATACGCTAAACGTTTACAAAGATAAAACAAAAATTTTACAGCTATTAATTACACAACACAGTAACTTTACTAGCTTATTATTAATTCAATAGAAATATATKTATGTGATCTAGTAAATGCTATTTGGGGTGTAAAAAAAAATAGGCAGAGCAACAGCTCGGCCTTAAAAGGGAAAAAAGGGAAATAATCCAATGTCATTTAGTGTAACAGAGATCAGACTGCTGTACTGAGTAGTCTCCAGAATTCCAACTGCCTTCCAACTATTTATGTATCAGAAACAGCAGTTACATTACACTGAACCAGTGTTCTGGCCAGTATCATGTATACAAACACATAAAAAGAAAATAGTCTTCAGTGATTGCATTCCAAGAGGCAAAAAAATATGGGTTCCACCTAGATTCTATTATATGCTTTCTGAAGAAATTAGTTCACGTATCTTAAGCTTCCTGTCTTCCTATATTTTAAGTTCGTGCAGCTACACAWGTTCTTAGCAAATGAACAATTCACAGAATCACAGAATGGCTGACTCCCCTGCCCCAGCAGGGACAYCCAGAGCATGGGGCAGAGGGCGGCATCCAGGCGGGTTTGGGAGATCTCCAGAGAAGGAGACTCCACARCCTTCCTGGGTAGCCTGTGCCARGGCTCTGTCACCCTCACAGGGAAGAAGTTCCTCCTCACACGCAGATGGAACTGCCTTTGTTGCAACTTAYATCCATTACTCCTTGTCCTGTCACTGGCCACCACTGAGAAGAGCTTGGCCCCTTCCTCCCTACATTGATCAGATCCCCTCTCAACCTTCTCTTCTCCAGAGAAAATAGGCCCAGTTCACTCAGTCTCTCCCCATATGAGAGATGTTCCAGTCCCTTATCCATCTTTTTCGCTCCACATCCCACTTGTCCTCGGGAGCCCAGAACTGCCCCCAATACTCCAGGTGCAGCCTCCCCAGAGCTGAGCAGAGGGGCAGGATCCCCTCCCTCCACCTGCTGCCAACATCCTCCTGATGCAGCCAGGATCCCATTGGCCTTCYTGGCCACGAGGGCACTGCTGCCTCATGGGTAACTTGGTGTCAACCAGGACTCCCAGGTGCCTCTCCGTGGAGCTGCTCTCCAGCAGGTCAGCCCCTAATCTGTCCTGGCGCCTGGGGTTATTCCTGCCCAGGTGCAGGACCCTGTCCTTGTCCTTGTTGAACCTCATGAGGGTCCTCTCTGCCCAACTCTCCAGCCTGTCCAGGTGCCTCTGGATGGCAGCACAGCCCTCCGGAGTGTCAGCCACTCCACCCAGCTTGGTGTCATCTGCAAACTTGCTCAGGGTGCCCTCTGTGTCCAGGTCATTGATGAACAGGCACTGAACCCTGGGGCACACCACTGGCCACAGGCCTCCAACTGGACTCGGCCCCTTTTATCACCACCCTSTGAGCTCTGCCACTCAGCCAGTTCTCGAGCCACGTCCCTGTCTTATCTGTCCAGTCCACACTTTCGGAGCTTTCCTATTAGGATATTAAGGGAGGCTGTGTCGAAAGCCTTGATTCACTTGATAAACATCTTTACAATTCTACTTTTATTCTACTTATACTCTGACAACAGCCCTTCCTGGGTTTTGTCAGCAATGAAAAAACTGTTGAAAAACGCAGCTCAGTTATCTCAAACATATCCAAAGTCAGGTGCTAACACCTTTAATAGAAGGAATAAGTATTATCTACTTATTTACTTAGTTAAAAWTGCATTATTTTCTTCTGTAATGGTCATTTAAGCCTGGGGGTACATTTCATCTGAAATAAGGCCTTCCTGAAACACCAGAAATTCCATACTAAGTCTCAACAAAGGTACATCTGGCCCAGTGTTAGGTTTCCAACAGCAGTCTCCTGTAAGTACCTGCTACTTAACTACTGGTCATGTATAGAGCAATTCTTCCCTGAGAGATGCTTCCAGCTTCTGTCAGCCTGCAGCTTGGCTGATGTATTAGCGTACATGTCTTTTACTATGTCTATTTTGGAACAATCTAGCACTTGCAGGAAACTAATGTCTGAACAGTCCATCAACAGCAAGACAAAGTCTGTTACTTTATTAACAAGCAAACTGCCAAACAACATAAAAACACGACAAGAAATAGACACTCTCCAGACACTTCCTTTTATTGAGACGCTGAAACAGCTTAATGCACAAACGCTTTGTGTTAGTTCTAAATATTTCCTCTGTTTAAGCAGCATTTACAGCTCATGTACAGTTCTCAAGTCATCTTTAGATGCAAGATACTTTTGCAGTAGCAGCTTCATAGATCAGTGAATGCCAACACTCCACAAGCCTGTTTAAAATAATGAAGTCCATATGGAGTGACAGAAAGGAGACAGTACACCATTCTGTGCAGTGACTGGGATCGTATTTCAAAAGTGAAAAAATCAAAGTTATTCAGCCTTACCTCCACTTCATTTTTAATACTTTCCTTATGTATTTCACCTCCTACTCAAAAATAATGATTTTTATAATGAACAGAAAAGGCATCTGTACGTTTTCCTATAAAAACAATAAACCTACATAAGTAACAATCAATTACTTTTGAATGTTCAAGGAAAACATGTCCTCTATTAAAATATATACACACACACACATATATAACACAGACATATTTCTTAATGTAAAAATATCTTCCAAGTATAAATTATTTCCAGTCTATCCAACTCCTTATGTATTGCAAACAAATATGTTCATTGGAACAATTTAAACAGATAGCTATTTCACAATTAGAGTGTATTGCTTCTAAAGTACTAAATGATAATCTTTRATTTWAAAAAAAAWGTATTTTTGATCACTTTTTATCATCTGATGCTTTCACCTAGCAACTATTTTGATCCCAATTGTCAGGAGGAGCAAAATATACAGATTAGCTGAATTCAAATCAAGAATCTGTACTTTCAACTAGAAAGCTCAGGGTAAGGCCCTTATGGGTTTGATCCACTTCATTGTAAGGATGCATAGTTTTCCATTTATTTACCAAGAACCAAGCTTGCTGCTCACATCCGATGAAATGTGTGAAGAATTCTGTTTTCCTTCAAACACAACYGCAAAGGAACTAAAATAGGCTTATTCATGTTTTTATCAGCCCAGAGCACTGAGAATTTAAGCATGCTAATGGGCTTCCAATCTGACTTTCTAATGTCAAAGTTTAACCAKAATCACCTGCTGTCTCTCTAACCCTAGCCAACCTTTCCTCCCCACAGCCTTCATTCCCCTTTATCTACTTGCCTTGTCAAACTGAGACATTTCTCAGAAGAGTCAAAATGAAGAGGGCCAGACATGCTTAAACTGACATGGGGTATCTCTCTCCACCAGCTACATAACCCAAGCTTCTTAAYTTCCACCAGAGACTGAATATATAGTTCATCAGTAAAACACATACYACAAAAATATTTCAATTGCCATTAACAAGGCATTACATTTCACTGTGATTTATGTGGTGATTCTAAGCACTAGAAACAATAGCAGAGAGCAAAAGCAGTTTTAGCAATGTTTTAATGCTGGTATGAGTTTGCTAAATAATTTGGAGGATAATGTCTCTTAATGACATACTAAAAAGTTTTGTCTTTTCAGAAAAATAGTCATGGATTTGAAACTCCCACAAGTTCTACTGCTTCCTGCCAATTTAGGTGTCATCACTTCATTTAGAAAAAGCAAAATACAAAATCACACACATATCTAAAGTCTACTTCTAGCTCTCAATAATGGCATCAAAAAATTCTGCCCATTTACAGATAACTTGAAATACAATGTGAGCAGTGAATAYAGCTTTGCAATCTAATATTTCAATGTTAGTGATTTGCTAACCTTCATAGGCTTACCCCTAACATCAAAATAATTTACTATGCTGTGTTAGAATCCAAGTTGAATCCAAATGAATCTTCATTTAACTGTTCCGGACTCACRCCTTTGACAACACAATTCTGTATTACCAAAACACAAGTGTTTCACAAACTCAAAGCTGAGCAGTAAGTTTCACATGCAGCTATATCAGTTTGGGAGTCTTGAGCAAACTGATGACTCTGTACTTCTGTTTCAACCTGTAAAATGGAACTCAGCTTTCTGTCTCTTGCTTTTGCTCTTAAATTGTTGGTTTCTTAGAGACCCTGAAAGCTAAAGGCCTATAAAGGCCTTAACTGTAAGCTAAGGGAGTTAGAGACTCATAAATGCCAAAGTAACAGCAATACTCACTCCCATTAGGGTAAAAGTTTCTTTACACTGTACAGTTATTTCTGAGTCACTATTTCCAATAACAACAGGAACAAGCACAAAACTTCAGCTGGTTTACCTGAATGCACATAAGTAAGAAGCTTGGAAAAACAGTACAAATTATGAATTGAAGGAAACAGAAAGGACCATAGGTATCTGATGCAGAACACCAAACAAAATCTAACTAGATTTCATTGCAATATTCAATCATACGATACATGAAGATTTGAATTAAACATGTTAAACATTTTATTTAAACAAAATTCTTTCTCAAAAATAGTAGTCCTTATAGCAGCAACCAAAAAGGCACATAATTATAAAACAACCCAGAATACAGAAGATCAGGCAGAATATATATATATATACATAGATTCTTTTTAAACAGGCATCTTTTTTTAAAAAATCCTGAAATACATAGTTATAGTTTCTATTTTATAAAAAAAGTTACAGTTTAATGTCATCCTCTCTTATCAGGTTTCTATGATTGGTTTAATGTTTCTGTCCAKCTGTGCTTATTGAAAATCCTTACAGTATAACCTGCAAATAATTATTTTCCAATGATGTGAAGATTTAGGTATACATAYATCGTAAGTATTTGTACCACTTAAAATCTTAATATCTATCTGTGAGGGTTCYCTTCTACAGTAAAGCTGTTTAGAGATACAACTTAGCACATATTTCAGTGCTTCAACGTTGTCTGAATAAGCTTATATGCACAATGACTCTATCAGAACTTTGGTTCATTCTTCATACTGTTTATGTCTCCTCTACAAGACTGGTACAAAGGCCCCCTGATTGAATATACTATACTGAAATTGCACAATGTTCACAATTTAGAGGTTTAAGTTTAGGTATTTAAGTTAATAGCAAGGAAAACCTCACCCACAATATGTCAAACATGCATATATTTACATATGAAATGAAGTAAGCAAATAGTGTTTAATATGATTTTATCATTTCAGCAATTAATTATCTGGTCAAGGAGTCTGAAAAACTGGCTTCCAGAAATGCCTAACAAATAAATATTTAAGTTGCTGTGATTCAATAACAACAAAGAAATATAGCTGAAGTAAATCTCTTAATGTGTCATTATTTTCTTTTTGACAGTATTAGGAACAAGCTATTTTCATCTTGGGAAAAAAAAGAAGAAATTTATATTACGCTCCTACATCCTGACACTACACAAATAAAATAATGAATTTTAAATATTTCTGGGCAAAGATGAATGTTTACACATATTACTGAAAACATTCAAGGGTGTGAGGAAACAAAACTTAAGGCTTTTTTTAAAGATTAAATTTATGAAAATTTGTGTGAGATGTTTATATTTCATTTTAAGGAATGCTATTAAATGGTAAGAGTTTAAAGCTGAAATATACTCCGTCATTTACCAGTTCTTAAATTCATCATTCTTCCCCTCACTGCATTTGTACCATTTTGGAAAAATCTTGTTATTCAGYAAGGCTTCAGTGTCATCGGTGGTCAAACTTGAAGTGGAAGCCAAGACACCATAAAGTGTAAAACACGTATCTGGTAATTTGAGGAAGGTGTCCGAAATAGCAGTCTAATTCAGCAAGGACTGTGCAGCTTCCTTAATAAGTGATGCAGCTTTGTCCAGTTCTTGTTCTGTTTGTTCAACTGTTATCACTACTCGAATACTAGAAAAAGAAAGCCAGAACAGTCAGTTACACCTTTTTTTGAACTAATATCAACACACATGAAAACTGTTACCTCCAAGGAAAGGATTATGAATTTAAGTTCAATAAGAAACAAGAAAYATGGCTAAATAGAAAAGGTTGAATGGCTTCTTTTCCAAACACACAAGTAACAATTTTATCTGGCCTCTTCCTTATCTGCAGATKTGCAGCTCTCAGAAATACGTCTGATAAACAGGCAAGGCCAGTATCAAACTGAATTCTAAGATGTGATACAGTTATTTCAGCATATTGGCACAGTATAACAGTCACTGGGAATATTCTGAGAAAGCAGTGCTAACACACTAACATATCCACCTAACACACTATTCAGTCTAGGCTACTTAGCAGAATCTCTACATTGTATGAAAATAAACACATCCAATAAAAAGGAAAAATAAATTGACTACTAACCTTGGTGGAGGAAGACACTTTTCTTCTTTCTCCAGATAGCGTGCCTGAGTTAATGCAATACCATTATTCATACACTGCAGAGAAAGAAAACATAGCAGTCATCATGCTGATGGAGTCATATATCCTTGTGCACATATCTGTGCACATATTCCTGACACCAAAACCATTGGTGTCAGGAAAACAATTAACTCTTTTATTAAATCATATTTATGCATATTTCAAAGGAGAATAACCACATTCTTTCTCTAGTGTAGTCATGTTTGCCTGTCACCTAAAATATACATCATCCTCATCAACCTCCAGCTCCTTCACATGAAAGAGAACCATGTGCGTTCCAASGATGGAAAAAAGTGCTGAGTACAAAACATACCAAGATTCTTCACATGTTCATGGTCTCAGACAAGTAAAATTACAGAAAACTGCATCTTCGATTGTTCAAATATAGCAAGAGAACTTTGCTCAAAGGACAGCTTGTTATTCCTACATACATCAGCAGTTCTCTAATCAACTGTTTAAATGTGAATTTAACTACAGCTTAGAAGTACATAATAGGAAATACTAATTTTCTAAAATCCAAAGTTCAAATGCATATATTTTTTATCAAGTGTTACAACAATTACAAAGATAATAATGCATTTTGAATGCTATGGGAATACTTACATAATCTACAACTCTTTTCAGCAACTTCACATCATTTTCTCGAGATCCACGGCTCTCTTCCAATTGTAAGTGCAATGCTGGAGAAAAAGATTCGCCCACTACCTTTAAGCCAGAAATCCTAAAACAGATAAGAAACTTTTAATATATGCCTGAACAAAATGCTAAAGTTTCAGACAATAAATGCTTCCACTTTCCAGCAAAGAGTGACATTTAACAGAAGTTATTTAACAGAGAGATATTTAACAGAAACTTGTCTTTCCTAAAGCTCTTACTAAATCTAGTTATATTAAGTTTTTGTACAACAACAGCCCACTCCTCTTTTTGCAAAAGGGATCAGGGATTCAAAATAAAGGATTTTGAAAGAATCTTTTCAAAAATATAAGAGAATTGATAATGTCAGGCTTAATATTTGCTGATAAAAATATAGCTATTAACTCAAGCCTTTGGAATTGGCATTCAGAAAATCACTAAATCTTTCTGCCTTCCTATGTGATAAGAAGAAGCCAAGTCTATAGCTGGTAATACATCYGAATTTAATTATTTCTGTAGAAAATCTTTTGAACATCTTCTAACACCAAGCCAAAAGCTCTTCTAAAGCCAGGTACATTCACAAAACAACCCCCATGTCTGTATGTGCAGACAAACATGGCCTGGTTGCACTGCACACCTCGTTCATCCCATGCACCAGGACAAGCTGGGCGCCGAGCTTCTGAAAAGCAGCTCATCAGTGAAGGATCTGCAGGTCCTGAGAAGACACGAGCCATGGAGCCACATTTTCATTGCTGACCATTAGCCAGCAAAGTGCCCTTGTGGCCCAGAAAGCCGATGGGATCCTGGGTGCCATTAGGAAAAGCGTTGCCAGCAGGCTGAGGGAGGGAATCCCCTCTTCTGCTCAGCCCTGATGAGGCCACATCTACGCTTCTGTGTGCGGTTCTGGTTCCTCCAGGATAAGAGAAGCTTGGGGCTACTGGAACAAGTCCAGCAAATGTCAACTAAAATGATTAGGGGCCTGAAGTGTATCTCATATGAGGAAAGTCTGAGAGCTGCAGCACTCCACTGCCAAAAAAAACAAGGCTGAGGGCAGACAAAGAGAACAAACTGAAATAGTAAGCTCTGTATCAATCTAAGGAAAAACATCTTAACTGTGAGGGTGACTGAGCTCTGGAACAGGCTGCCCAGCATTGTGGAGATAGTTAAACATCATGTGGACAGGGTCTTATGCAGTGTGCTCTAGAAGACCCTGCTTGAGCAGGAGGCTTGGACAAGATGATGTTTAAAGGATCCTTCCTGCCTCAACCACTTTGTAGCTCATTGATACACAAGACTAAATTATTCCCTTCTACATACCATAGCAAGACCTTCGTGCCTGACACTCAGCAGATCCCATAAATGCATACATGTCCAATATAAACCCTAATCTTTATTTCCTGCCTTTGGTGAGCTTGCATCACATAGACACATACAGATTTATACTCTTACTTCAAAATAAAGTCTTCAAATTTTAAAAAAAAGTAAAAAAATAAAGTTCAGAAAACAGAACAGGAAAGTAAACAAATCCCTAACTGTAAAACTGAAGTGAGCATGAAAAAAAATGGGCACTACAAACACATGAAATCGTAGGCTTGAAAAAAATATATTCTCTAACAGGAAAAGCTTCTTGCATTATGTCTATAAGATTGTCAGTTCACAGTCCAGTCTGGAAAAACAAGTCAAATTGGCAGCCTTTTCCTTGGTGACATAACTGCAAACCTTCTGGTGTAATTTATATACATTTGCACACAAAGTGAAGGCAATTTCTTTAATGCACAAACACAAATGACACATATCCCGCTACAAGAGTGCAGGAGGGAACACAGTTTGATAGCATAAAGTACCAAAGCACAAGGAAAAAGGAGTCCAAGGTCCACTACAAAGTAGAAATTATATGGAATATACAGTAAAATGCATCAGTTATTTGTTATGTCTGAAAGATCTGTTTTTGAAGTAACAGAGGAACAAAACTGGCCTCGATCTCCAAGGCTCCTTTTAAGGAGTCTTCTACACTAGTGAATCCAGTGTGCTTTGGATGGTTCCTTGGCTCCGAGGCCGGTGGGTACAGAATGACTCACAACCGTACTTTTAAAATGACAGTCTCCAAGCAAGAGTGGCCTCATCCAAACTGTTTATTGGGAATGGCTCCTGGCTCACGCTAACTTCGGAACAGTCTCCAGGAATTGTTTCAGAGAGCGCTACTTGGCCTGGGCCAAAAGCACGCCACAGACCCTTCAAACAATGCAACACTGTAGACAATTGAGTTCCAGGGCCYAGGAATGTTTCCCGGCTTTAACTTACTAGTATAGATGTTACCTCAGGGCGCTACCCAAAAGGAAGTCAAAGTTCTCCACACCTCAGCTCTGAGGCTGAGCTGCAAAACTGAGCGAAAAGGCCAGACTATTAAGCCTTTAGGAATTCTGCAAAATTCTGAGAAACTGATTTGAAAATTCTCAGCCAAGTCTAGTCTACACAAGGAGTAGTGAACTATTTAAGGACTACTACTTACTGTAGTAAGGACTATTACTTACTGTAGGAGGGCTTGGGTAGGGGTGGGATAATCATGCCTCCACATTTACACACTAAGAAACTTTTCCTTTATTTTTAATTTGTTCCTCTCACTTGTCCATTACAAGAAAAGGGGAGGGAAGGGGGAAACAGAAGCTGTGCATTTTTTTCCACTTTCTTTTTGCACATCTTCCCTCCAATATTGCTTTACACACCTACTCAGTTTACCTTCCAACACCTTGATATTGCTAAATTCTACACGTTCTCTTCCAGTGTGTCTAAAAACAATTGCCTTTGGAACAATTGCAGAAAGAGAAAAATCCCATTTCAGGACAGACATTTTATTCAATGTTAATTTGTGACTATTCTCATCACTTAAAGAATTGAAGGTGAAAAAAAATAAATAAAAGCATTATTCACAGGATAATCACATAATCACATTACCCATACTCATTACRCAGCACTGCTTTTTGAAGATACTAATGAATAAAAAGTTAATCATTTCTCCGCAGGGTTTATTGCTGCGTTTCAAAAGTTTATATTCTTACACTAAAAATGGTAAGTGCAGAAGAATATTACAATTACTCTGTCATAAAATGCTCTTACTAGTAAAGACATGAATAACTTTTAATTGACTGTAARATATTTCAAATTTAGAAGCATCTGTATATTTCTGGGCTGAATAGTCTACATGTTTTCAAATCATCATTTAAAGAGAACATGATCAAAAGAGATCAGGATTATTTCATGGTAAAATTATACCAAAGAAACTGAATGTTTTTAAAGACTATCAGAAGAGTTCTAACACTAAAAATGCACTAAAGAGTAAATTATTTCAATAAGAATCTGCATCTTGATAGGAAATGTAATTCATACTGAATAACTGAATTATGCATTTAAATAATGTATCACTAATAATGCATTCTCAAATTAGGTTGTGTTCAGTTTTTATGCATTTTGTAAGTGTAATGTAAGTGATTACAAAGTGTTCCTCTTTCATTTGAAAGAATATCAACTAAGCTATGCCCATAACTCTCATCAAATGAGAGTTACTTAGGTATTTCTTTCACTATGATTATCAATACTTCGCACCACCAAAACTCACTGCATTCTCATAAAGACTTTAATATGCAAGAGTTTGCAACCATCACCACTAGAAATACGGTAAAATATCATTTCAATACCTGTAAATTTTTTTAGAAAAAGTTTGTCTAAAAACTCAGGTTTAAACATCAAGAGAATCAGATACACTTTGGGGAGTGTTCTTTAAAGTCCTTTCAAAGGAAAATGTATATTGACAATAATATAAAAATCAAACAAAAAACAGCAAAATATGAAAAAAATTCATCATCCTCAATAATAAACAGCTTACCCCTGTAAAGCTCTGTGAATTCGCTTGCACTTTTCCTGAAGAGTCTGAAAAACATCTAGATAAAACAAACAAACAAACCTCAGACCCTGTTTCTGCTTTACACTTCTGTCATCTAAGATTAAATAAAATGGAAACAAGAACTAATGCATTAAAGCACTTCAAAGAATTAAGTCTCTTCACTACTCTTTCTAATACTCATCACTCACACTTCTATCATTAAATGGCAGGTTTGTTAAGATCTCAAAAGARTGTTATTTCCCTTTATCTCTTTATTCCAGCTGTACTCGGTTCATGATCATGTGGAAAGAATGCTACAAATGCTTACTAAGGGGTTTGAAATGAGAAATTCAGCTTATTCATAAATATAAGTATAGCCAAGCAGACTTCTGTTCCTTGATGCTCTCAGCCACTCATTAATGACTCTTAAACAGGAAATATTGACTCCTGAATCTAGAAACCTGAATTCTTTCCTTAAACAAAGATTAATCTTTCAGCAGAGCTAATAATCCACAAGTGTACTCTACTTTTTTAAAATTTTGTTTCATTTTTGAGGACCAGGCATGATCCATCACTGTCTCTTTTATTCTCAAGTAACTCATTTTCATGCAGAAGGAGTATTTTTAAAAATAAAAGCAGGGAGAGAAAATTACAAAAAAAAAGTGCAAAACTGATCAACTAAAAAGGAAGAGAGAGAACATACAATCATACAAACATACAAGCAAAAAAAAAAAAAGGGATAAATTAAAGTAAGGGAAAAATATGGGGTGAATTCCGGATGAAGAAAAAAAAAAAATGAAGAACAGGATTTTCCTGAATTAAGTACCTGGATTATCTTCCATAATATTCAGAGCTTCAATAGCAGCAGCAGCTAACAAAGGAGGCAGGGATGCAGAAAAGCAGTAGCCCTGACCAGACAATCGCTGGGGGAGAAAAAAAGAAAGAAATAAACAAAAAGACATTTTTTTGTTTGTAACAACAAAGAAAAAATGTTTTACAAGTAGAATTGTTTAAATGTAAAAGYAGCTCTCCTATTCATCTAAAATCTTCTGTAGAATAAGGAAGTTCCTATATAGAATCAAATATTGTATAATAATTCCTATCATAATATGGCTTGTAAGTCAATAAAATACTCCAAATTCTCCATAGTAATCCTGCCATGTCATATAATAATAAGATATGGCTTACCTGGTGATCAATAACAAAAGATCTACCACAGCAAAATCCTCCAATGGAAGCCAGTGAATTTTCCATATTTGCGCTGATAAGATCTATATCATCTATCTGCCATTTAAATGAACAACAAAGTTATCAAGAAATGCCTTTGATTAAATTAAGACTACTAACATTATACATCCAAACCTGTCTTACTTCTTATTATTATAAACACCAGAATGTCCAGAATTAAACTGCATATTCAAAATGGTGCTCCAATTAAAATAATTTCTAACAGTACAACAAAGACTTTAGAAATCAATAYTTATGGATTTATATATATGTTCCACAAGCTCATAAAAAAAAAAAAAAAAAAAAAAAGGTTGTATGTATGTGGGTCACTCTTCAAAGAAGCCAACATCATGGTGTCCATTACAGAAGTAAGTAGTCCCACAACAGTCAGTTAAGGTATAACGGGACTAACACTGAGCACAAACCTAGACAAATCAGAATTCGGACCCCAGAGATGTAATTGTCTTATTTCATTCATTAGTTGCAAACAAGCTTTTCTTTCTGCCATGCTCTGTAATGTATACTGATGTCTATCACTACAAATTTCTATTTTGACTGTGTAAAGGAATTTTACATAAGAGTCAATCAGATGGTGGTTGGCAAGCCTCACTGCAATTTTCTAATGCTGTTTAGCATTCACTTGCTCTTTTCCATGCGCTTGATTGAATAGCCAAGTGAAAAGTTATTTAAAATAGAGGTAGGAATARAAAGTATTGAGAAGATGTATCAAAATTTGATACATAGCTTTTAACTAAAYTCTGACACTGCCTTTAAGAGACAGTAAAATATACTCCATACTGAGGAGACGTTGGCTGCCAAAATAGCATTTCTTCCTTCCCTAGCTCAGGTGGCTACAGTAGCAAAAAACTGTAAGAATTCCAAAACAAGAGTTCATTCCATTTCAATACTCCTCAAAAGAGAATGAAAGAAAGACWTGTCACGTTGGGAGAATATTTTTGCCGAATATATTGGATTACTGGAATACTGGAATACTTCCTTTGGAAGGACTAACTAAGCTTTCTCCTACTTCTTCCTCCCAGATTCAAAAGCAATATATCAGAGCGGGCATTGGTAAGTGGCCACTGAAAAAACATTTAGGATTTGCTCCAAACTCCCAAATATTTCTGTGCAAGCACACTGCTTTTTGGGCATATGGACCTGGAGAACATTATACTGAGCATCAAATAGAAAAAGTATTACATTAYGCACTGTAAGAATTTCTCTGCTTGATTTCCTCAATAAAAATACATACTCTAAAAAAGTTATTTCAGGTAAACAGGTGAGAGAAAACAGGACCCTGCACTTTTACTACTGATAAGTGGACAGACAGAAAAGGAACAAAAGAAAAATAAATATATCATATACTAGTAAATAATGTTAATGCCAGAAAAAAAAAAAAAATGTAGCAAAATTTGACTCTCTACAGGTCTCATTTACAACATAAAACACAGGAAAATGGCACTTACATTTACACCAAAGTGTTCAGTAATTCCTCGTCCATGTTCCCCAAGTACTCCAAAGGAAAGGCTCTCCTCCAAAAAAATTCTAACTTTGTATTTATATTTCAGTTTTATCTAATATAATGGAAATAATACAAAATACAAGACAAGCCTATCAGAAACTGGTAACAGAATGGGCGGTAGGGGGAAGCAGGATGCATGCAGACAACTACAGTGCTATGAATATTGCAAAAACATCAGCTCCAGAGATGAGTTCTGGTGTTAAGGCACAGAAAAAGCTTTCAAACAGTTATCACTATTTATGTTAAAGACTAAGTAAATTTCTTAAATGCTAATCATCATTTACAAAAAAAATAAATTTTGGTTACTTGTCTGCTAATAAGATACTACGTTTTCACAACATTTGTTTCCTTACCTACAGTCTGCATAACAAGCCAATTTATGCTGAATAACAAATGTGTTCCTTGGAGCCACTGTATGAAGATTTCTTTGAAACTAATACAATATATTTTTATACATCTATAGATATATATGATATATTGTAAGTATATTTTTAGTTTAACAATCTAGTGACACAAAATTTCTAAAATACAGTAGATTTAACAGGTTTAAAACTAAGACTTCAACTGGATATTTATCTCACCATGTAAATTATTATTATATAAATATATTATTACTTACTGATTAGGAATTTCAACAAAAAATGTCCATTTGAGAACCCCATTTCATGAACATTTGAGGAAGGATATAACTCAAAAATTACAAGCAAAACTTTTCTTTGTAGGCTTAAYTGCACACTACTACTGTTTTATAATCACGTGTGTTCACAAACAGGGTTTAAAAAGCAAACTGAAACCACTTACCAATTCTGGAAGAGGGCAGATGTCTCCTGTATTCATATACAATCCTTCCACTACAATAAACCTTCGAGTTACWCGGGCCTTGCGGGGATTCTTCAGAAACAGATATGGTTTCAGTTCATACCAATAATTACTAACAAATGAATTACTAACTCTCTGATGGTTTTGTGGGAAGGCAASTAATAGGAAGGGACAGAAGATAATGTCTTTTTTCTTTAAAGTAAGCTTTAACTTTAGTCTAAATTGAGTCTTTATCATAATAGAAGCTGAAATGTGTCATTGGACTATTTGCCTTCATTTTTCTAGCAGTTTTAAAGCTTTTAACTCTTTTTAAAGGTTTTTTGTTTTGTAACAAACCATAACCAATTCATTTGAACTTTATGCATAATACACAAACAATACAACTACAGAACAAGTACTGCAATTCTGGATCTCTATTATATTCATAACAGTTATGTTCCCTCATTAGTCAGAACATTTAGAAGACTTTTCAACAACCGGTTTGAGTGACCGCATTCTCAGTGCRGCACAATCCTCTTGGAAACAGTTGTCTTTGTAAGACATGATTCAAAAGCATTCACAACTTTCAAGTCACAATGTGGTCTCTGAACAATAAAAGCCATAAGAATGTTCTGCATTTTTTTTCTGTTTAAACTATGATTTTATGGTTTGATTTTCACTGTTCTAAAATGATATACTAATTCAAAATCTGTGAGTAATGAAAAAAAAACCCACAAGTTATTCCATGGATTATACTACTCTCAAAATTAATATTCACCACTTAATTTTTGCCCACATTACCCTATGTTCTAATTTATCATCTGATTGTGCTAAACYTTTATATAAAGTGAAACAATGTCCAAATTATTGTTTCCTTGCTACTTATTTTACTAGTARGATTTTAAGCTTCATCTTCTTTTTCAGCTCACAGGAAAAGTCTTAGAGAATATTTTTCTTTCCTGAGCACTAAGTACCAAAACTGGGTACATCAACAAATTTTAATAGGGTACCTCCATCAAAGCACCCTGCTCCAAGAAACTGGATGTGCTGCCTAAACAGGCTATCTCATTATTCTGTCWACTCAAAAATCTCATGTAGAGATTATTGGACAAGATGCACTTYCCATAAATGTATGTAGACTAGCTCCTTTAAATTTGCAATTAATTCATTACTGATTTATGTTGGTGAGCTTACAATTATCCAGCTTACTGCATGGCATTCAAATTGATAATTAACAGGTATATTTTGTCAGGTAAACATAGTTATATGAACAACTAAAGGACAAAATCCATGCAAAATCACCAAAGGAGCTCCATGCTTCAGTCATTTCATCGCAGTTATATCCCATGCCACCACAGCCTCTAAGTTTACTTCCAGTGGTGACAATGACAAAAGCAATAAAAGATCTTAATTATATAAGCAACATCAACTGTTTGGAGTACAAACATTTCATCAAAACAGCTGCACCTTTTGATCTTCAGCCTCCTGTTCTTTCAACAGCCGTTCCAGGTGAGTCATATCATTATGTTTAAACGACTTGATGTTACTACGAGATGCCTGTAAGCCCTTCTGAATAGCAAAGCAGGCAGCTTCATCTCTGTAAATAAATAAAGACCTTTAAATCTGCACTTGGTTTAGCACTCATTCAAATAAGAMAGCTGCCTTAAGATCTTTTTGTGAGCTTGATCTGTTTTGAGTCGCTATGTATACTCACAGGAAGCTAAAAATAGATCTATTAAATCATCATAGACTTTACTTACTGTTTGAAAAGTATTTCCAAAGCTTCTCAAATTCGCTTTACACTGTAATACTGCAATACTGCACTGAAAGCAAGCAAATTTTTCTTGAAATGTGCACTGGTCCTTTGGTATTCATTGGTGTGCAACACAAGTGAGCTGGGTGCTATTTCTAGTCACCATACCAGAAGTTCTTTTTCCTGAGCCTYGGTCTGGGTCTTAGCAAAAAAGCACAATAATGTGCCTATAAACACTTACAGTGCTCTTCAGAATATCCAAAACCTGATTTTTAAGATTCGTCGAGATTTATTCCCCCARAGTGTAAATAATAAGCTGCCATTTTAAGTTTTGAAAAAACAAATCCCTAGAGAGSGTTGGGGAAATGGCAGTTTCACAGCTGGATACTCCCAATAATTGCCTCAGTGGTAACTTAAATCTTCAGCACATGGCAAATGCAGTAATTTCAACCAAGTAGCTTTTTTAAGGAAAGGAAGATGATCTTTTGGCTACTGAGAATCTGAAATTATACAAGACAGCTAAATCAACTGCATCTAATTCAATCACATCTTGAATATTGTGTGCTGTTCTGGTATTCCATCTCAACAGAAAAAAACCCCACTACGATAGTGTTTGAAGATGAGCAAAAAAGATGACCAAGTTATGAATGAACTTTTGTAAGACATTTTTTGGACATTAAATCTTACACCTAAAAGAAACCAAAAATGAATTATAGTAGATGACCACAAAAGCAACAGCAGCATGCAGAAGACGAGTAAGCAGCTATTCATAGCCTCTCTTCATTAAAATCAAATCCATCAATTGAAACCAGTGTTAGATTTACTAATGTTAAGGTATTTATTCATATAATGTTCAATTGTAGCTGTGATATTACACATCACACAAATGCTCTGGATAGTCAACATTTATATTGGTTCAAAAACAATAGAAAAAAAGAAAAATCTATGAAGAGCCATTGAAGCCTAAATCCTTTGGCTCAGACATTTTTGAACGTTTTTGCATTGTGTTTCTCCTGGTATTTCACTCTTTCCTAGAGAAAATGCCAGTGTCTACTCGGGGGGAGAAGATACTGGGTTTGCTGAATCCTTGATTAGACYCAGTATAGCTGTTCTTATGTTAATTCATAGTGATCTTCATCCAACTAATCTATTGCAAAAATGCATGAGGCACTTGTCTCAAAATGGCTTGCAGGAAAGATGAAAAGCCAGAAGTAAATAAGAGAAAAGCAGATCTGACTACACATTTTATTATGAAGAAAACTAGAATAATACTTGTACAAGCCCTTCTATACACACACACACMCCTTGATTTTCAGCTGAGTGCCCACATGTGCTTTTCCTTGAAAAAGCAGTAACTGGTACGCAATAAGAGCATTTTGAAAAAAAAAAATAAAGAAAAATCAAAGGAAAATAACATGACATTTGAACTTTTGGAGCATTCTGTTATATGAAGAACATTATTTTCTAAATATCAAATTAATATGCCTTACAATAACCAAAAAATATTTAAAGGATGACTCTTAAACTCTAATTTCCTGAGGAGAAAACAGTACTTACACAAACACAATGTCTCCTCTTTTTGAATATGCAGGAATAGCACTGGCAATTGTTGCAAATCCATATGAGTATATAATAGCTTCCTCTGTCCTCATGAATTTTGCGAGTCGTTCTTCTAATTCTAAGTGCACATCTATTGYAGAGGAAAATTAAAACAAACTCAGTTTAATTGTTTTCATATCAGAAAGACTAACTATGGTTGCTTTAACAATCATCTAACGATTGTTTATTCATAGAAGCAGCATTGTAACAAATAACTTACCAAAAAGCAACTACAGTCAATCTGATCTTACTTAAAATGCCAAGTAACCCACTATTAATCAGCAGCTCTGGTAGATTTGGAAATATTTAAGTAGCACTGTGCTCATACATTGGTAATTAACATCTATTCGTTATTCGGCCACAAGCAGATGAGGCAGGCTTCCTAGTCTGTGACTAGGGAGCATAGTTACTACAGTCAGACAACAAACAGCAACATAATTTATAGCAGTTAATGATGTCCTGTTGGCAGACCATGAGTTCTTCTAAGCTGATGCTTCCACTATATCCAGCACAACTATCACTATAATTGAAAACTGCTCTTGTCAGGCTGCAAACACATTCTGTGTCCTGAATGTAATTAACGTCAACTGGAGGGGTCGCACCTCAAGCCAGGTTACTCATCCTTTAGAATCAACTGACAAAATTATGCACATATTTCCCAAATCAATTCAGTTAAAATGATCTAGGTTAGTAACAAAACACTAAATCAAAAGATTAAGGAAAGAAATGCCATGTGTTGAGTGAAGTTACTTCAGAAGCTGCCAGAAGCAGAAAGGTAACAAAGGCTTAAGGATCCTGCCTAAGCAAGAAAACCTGTATCAGCCAAACTTATTTGAATTGCTTAAATACCTTGCCACTAAGTGCTTCTGCTGGAAGATGGGACAGTCAGAGAATTACACCTTTTATCAACAGGCTTATGGGCAACACTGGGCTTATGGGCAAATAGAGTTCCATAGTGAGACTAGAAAAAAAAATCACCTCTAGCCAAATGTTATCTTTTTTTTTTTTTTTTTTGCAATTTTCCAAAGTTCATCAAAACTAAGTTCAAACGAACAAACAAAAAATGGACCATATAGATTTTTTAATATCCTCTGAGGCATCATTACTTCTGTGTTCATATTTCTAGCATTGTAAGGGTGTAGCAAAAGCTTTTTTTTAAGATTTGTAAAAAGCCATATGAAAGACAAATAGTGCAATGCTTCAAAGAAATAGCATAATCACTTGATGTATATGTTTACACAATAATAGCAAGGGGTACATCTTCAAAGGACAGCCTCTCAAATCCAGTCAAAAAACATCTATAAACTGTATGTCTTGAACTTCCTTTTCTGAATGTTTACCTGAGCATCAAAAATGGAAGAGGAGTTTGTTTACTCTCTTTTTATTGAAAGTCAAAATGTTTATTCACTCGATTCTTCTTTTAAAGTTTTCTTATCCTACCTATCACTGTGATCCAGCTGTAGTAGCTATACTAAACACACTCAGAGAAAGCTACAATAGCCCTTTTTCTCTAAAAGTCTTGAAAAGGAAGGATACTGATTATCTACTTTCCAACAGGAATGTTAAGTCTTTTGTAAGCATCCTTTTTTTCGTTTCTACATGAACTTCAGGAATCTCGGAGCTGGAACTGAATCTACAGCTAAGCTTTATATATGTACTTCGATTCAATTGCTGAACATAAAGCCCCAAAATGATCTTTTTTTTTTTTTTTTTTTTTTTTTTCCCCCTCTCCTCTTCTCTCTCTTCTTTCTCCTCCCTGACAGCAAGCACCAGAAAATGCTGACTGGCAACATGGCATGTTCGGCCAAAAATGTTCTTTTTTGAAGTCTTATCAGCTAAAAATTTCAAATTAGGGGGAACAAGGACTAAACTATTATTTTGATTACCAAGTTATTGATGCCTAAAGGGAAAAAAATGCTTTATTGGAGAGCAATACCTGCAACCTTCAACTAGTATGTTTGATTGGAAAAGATGAAGAGATCATCACCCAGTTAAAAATGAAAACTTGCATGCTTCTCATTGAGCTTTTGCTCAACAACAAGTACTGTAATGCACAGAGGCTATAGAAAATAGTGAGCTAAAGAAATATAGTGAGAAAAAAAAGCAAACAAATATAATCAGATTCTATTAAAGAGAGAAAAAAAATCTTAGAATTCTGTTAAATATTCTCATTCTTGGCAAGATTTAAGTCTTCTGAACGCAAGCACTGCAGGTAAGACTTCAATAGAGCATAAAAAGAAGCTGATACGAATGAGTACCACTCAACAGAAAGAATGCTTTGTTTAATTTAAATGAATGAAACTGGTGAATCTGAAATGCCTATGACAACATCAGTTAAAGCTGCACTATCATTCCATCACAATAAAAACAGATTACTATCTAAATCACCTATTATTCACTGAAATAATTTGCTGTATTAATTTTAGTCAGGTTACATTGCAGCTCTCCTTTCAGGTAGGCTAATCACTAACACAAATATATTTGCACAGAGGCAGATATGACCAAAACATCTTTCTGCACACTTACAAAATCTAAATATAGCTAGCAATGTCAATAATTGCCAGTTTGGAGTTTGGCATGTACTAATATCCAAGTTCAGAGTAGGACTACTGAGACCAAAGCCCCTATCTCCTTTTATAAATCTTATTTGCAAGGTCACTTTACTTCTGAGTAAGCTAGCAACAAAAATCTATAAAAGCTAAAACCTACAAAAACCTCAAACAAATAAACCCACCCTCACCTTGTCATTATGGAGAAAATCACCATAAAGACTCAGTCTTTCATGATCCTAGTCATATTTCATGGTTAGCAAGGGAATTCCCTACTGAATCGAGATCATCTGAGGGAATCTGGCTTCCCAAAACTCTCCTGTGATCAACAAGCTACTATAACCTTGATTAGAAAAGAACTCTATCTTCAGACTAGTATCTTCAAGACAGATGGTCAAATACTTGATTTTGTTCTGATATATGGTATTTCTAAAAACAAAATAGATGTAGCAACTATGTCACCAGTTAATCTGATTAACTAAAAAAGTCAAAGTTAGTCTTATGCTGAATTCTGGTCAAGCCTACCTCTATGAAATCATCTCAGCATAAATACACTGCAAATTCCATTACCTCTGGAAAGCATCTGTAAGGCTCAAAAGAAACAAATTTGTATTTTTAGCCTACAACTGGGTGGCATTCATWTTACTCTTCGGTTTCCAGTAAGTATTTTACCAACATCTATGAAAAATCACTTCAAGTGGCTGATATTAAGCAGCTTATTTGTTCTTAGTAAGAGCGAAAAAATTGTCAGTAACACCCTCTTTCATTCTCTCCACAGAATWAGAAAAATCTAACTAAGCTTTAGCACAGAATCCCAAGGTCAGGCTGCCCTCTTCTGGCCTTCTTAGGAACATATTGCTAACTGAGACTCATAAATTCATTATACTTGATTACATGCTAATAAGTTTATTTTCTCCACTGTGGCAGTCAATGCTAGAGTGGACTATATTTAATTTTGTAACCTTTGTCCAAGAAAGGGCAGAGTTTTTTGTCTGAAAGGACAGAGAAAAAAACGCATAAAAACTGAAAAACAATGTTATAAATGCTTCTAATCCTTACTAYTACAGTAAGAAAAATGTTAGAGAGTAATTGTTCTTCAGACTGAAAGAAATAACTTGCTACCAATATGTAGGACTACTTTGTCCAGCTGACTATTGAAGTCTAAATATCTTTAAAGGTAAATCAGAATTAAAAGTTACTAACCAAAAGTGCCATAGAATCCTCTAGGTCCACAAGTGCCAACACCATACTTCTTYAGAGATGCCTGCGCTGCATTCTTTAATAGAAAAAAATATTACATGAAACATTTATTCCCAAAATAGATTACCAGTTCTTCTATACAACTCATACAACGTCATGCCACTGTATATTTACTAATTCTTGCTCCACAGAAAGAATAACTGCATAACAAATTCTGTGAATTTATTCCACACTACAACTATTTTAGACTAGTGTTTAAGCATCATTCATTGTATTTTACAGAAAACTTACAACAGACACTAATCTAATATGCAACATCAACAACTCCAAACAAATGCATCAAAGTTTTACAGAAAAAAATGTGAACAGCATAAGGCTTATGATCTTCCTCGCCATTTMGAAGTGGTGCCATGTTCCTTGACAAAGTTTGAATTTTCTGAAGCCATTCCTAATTTTAAATTAACATACAGACTCAAAGAAAAATCATGTAATACAGAAAAAACACAGGAAACACATACCTTAACGTTTTCATTATCCAGAAGTCCAAGGAAATTAAATGATGCAAAGTTTATACATTCCTTGCCATTAACAGTGATTTTATGAGTGGGAGGACTAAAAAGATTAGAAAGAACTATTATTAYAAATGAAAAGTTGTTGTTTTCATAAACAGTCAAATTGCAGCTGAGCTTTTTTTTCATTTTATTTTTCCTCTAACAGCAAAAGGCAAAAGCACTTTCAATATRCTCTTTTCCCACTTCTCTCCCTTTAACCACCAATTGACAGCAAAGTTCAGTGTCGAGGCACGAAAAACAAGGAAAAGTCAAATTCCTGTAGCTTAATAAAAAAATCCTTAATAGTTCGGGAAGAAATTTAAGAAAAAATTTAGAGTTTGTTTTATTGAAAACCTATTTCATACAAAGCTGACTAATGTTCACTAACAACTTGTGACGGAGAAAGCTGAAGCTCTCATCAAAACACAGACTTAATTTGCTAACAGATTCTTTCCCAGTCTTCTAAAGGACCATTACTTTTTAAGTACCCCAAAATAGGCATGTTAGCAATACCATATGGAGTGCTTTGCAACCTCAAAAATACCATAAACAATTAGTCTTTGCAAGAGGAAAAAAAAAAAAAGTTCTTTATAGTTTGCCTCATCTCACTTGTTCTAGTAAAATACATTTCTTAAGGTATCACTGTATCATCATGGATTTGCTTACCATCTAGCAACATAAATCACTGGGATTTTGTTTAACAAAAAAAACAAAAAGGAAAGGAAAAAAATGTTGACCATAAAAAACATGTTAACACATACAAAATGAACGACAAACTGTTTTACATACTAAGGAAGGGTGAAGTCTGTCCCCTCAAGACTGTGAGTCAAAAAAAAAMTTTACCACTTTACTGAAATATTTAATACTTTTTAGAATAGCTATGAGCCTATACAAAACCAATCCACATATTACATCTAATATGCAGTATTTAATTACCACAAACAAATATAATCGAGACATACCTAGGTCGACATTCATAGGAGACATTARCACATCATAATCACTAGCATCAGTATAGTTCCTCCTAAAATGCTAAMTGAAAATGCTCGACAGAAATTCTCTTCACTTGCAATTAGGAGAAAGAAACTTTAATTTTTTGTATTACCTCTGAAACTCTGCCTAGGCTGATAGGCCAGGTTTCAAGCTTATTGCTGTTCTGCGTGTAAGGGTAAAGTGATTGCCTAGCAGACTAAACCTTAGCACACAGATACAAAGTTGTCCCCATAACATCTGTTAAGTTCAACAGCAATAACATATTAATTCTACTTCTTTTCTACTTCTACTGCAGTAGGTTGCCTGCACTGGAAGGTCCTAAATAATTAAGCATTTCCTGAAACAAGCTAAAAGGTTTCTTTGTTCCAATCTTAAAAAAAAGAGAAAACCAAAAGAAACTCCTTCAACCTCCTTTTGCTCTAAAGCTACTGCTTTGTTTCAAAGTCCTGAATAAAACAGGGTGAAAAACAGACACTCTTCATATAATAGAAGTCAATTAAAACAGGTATCCTTTTCCACAGCAATCATTTCTTCCCTGTATTGGTCAGGCCTTCAAAATGCAGCAACTTCTGAGAACAAAATATATGTCATAACTTCATTTGAAAGTATTAATGTCACTGTCAGAATATTAAGAATGTTTACATTTTATATGTTATCAACATAAGTAAACAAAGTCGATGCTTTCTTAAGCAATTTCTGAAATACTGTGATTCCTGGCTGAAACACTACAGATGTTTTTATAAATCTCAAAACATCCACCTAACAGTGTAAAGCTGACCTATAATTCCCTGAAAAAATATGCAATTTCTTCACACAACAACTTTACCATCAAGCATATTCATATTTATTGTCCAAATTTATTATCCTTAAAAGGCACTATGCTTCACAACATACCAAAATGCCAGTCCTCAAATCAAACTCATGTGAAATGTTTTGTGTCCCCTTAACTCCACAGCCACAAGAGTCTGCAATCACTTCTAGACCTCTAGGTCTACTCTAATATTAAAACACTTCAAGATTACCAAACACTATATACCTAAATAAATGCTAGGACAAAACCACAAATCAATATTTTAAAAACTGCTGAATTAAATCATTTAAATTAAGAAACTCTATCTTAAGATTGTCTTTATAAGAAGACCTTTCTAGTGGTAAATCCAGTCCTGTTAGCTACAATGGCAGTTCACTCATGAAAGTTTTGAGGGCTACTGAAATCCTTGCATAGCAACCCACTTAGAAATACAGACATCAACAACTGTTTAGGCTGAAATAAAAACAGTTTACTTTAGTCATATTTACCCTGAAACAATGTTATAGTTGAGAGCTGGGTGGTCTTTTGACACAGGAGGAACAAGCGGCTCCGGCTGCCATTCTTCAATCAATTCTTCTTTTTCCTGAAAAGAAGAAAGCATACTGCTTAAAAAAAGGATTTTCATTAGGAAAAAAAATTGATACAATAGTGGGAGTAACAGGTGAGCAAAATAACACATATGCATTTTCCATACAGTGGAGAATACAGACTTCAGAATATTTGAAATGAGGAGGACAACTACTAAATCACTTATCCTTGCCTAACCATGGAGGAATAGCAAAAGCATATTCATTTTTAAGTGCTTTACAAATTTATTCCAAAACTTAAATTTCATGAAGGACATGCACAGAACCAATATCCCAGATAAATTTATGTGGGACCAGACTAATGTATTTTACTAAGAAATTATACAAAAGATAAAAGACATCAGCAATTATTAAGACAAATCATCTACCTGTTTCCTCTTGCCATGAAAGAAGAACTTTTTCAGATGATTATTTATCACATGTGCATTGTTACACTGGTAACATAGTTGTTAAAATGCTAACTTTGAATTTTATGATTATGGTGTTGTTAAATTTCTCTATTACTTCTCAAAGTAGCACAGTCTTTAAGACTGCGTATTTCAATACCTAAGTATTAATACTATCATTGATTTTTAAAAATCTCCCAGCTTAACCTTTTCCCATTTTTATTTTTCTTATTAAAAAATCTTTCAAAAACTTCAAGATAAATAAAAAACTAAGATATTGGAAATCAGAAGGAAACTATAGTTAATGACATCTTCAACTCTCCTTCATTTGCATTGCTTTCCTTTTTCTAAACTAATGAATAACTATTTTAAGTATTGCTGAAATATTAATTAATATCCCAAGAACTTGGTAAAGGTCTATTTCAAAACTCAAATGGAAATCTAAATACTCATGTATTTCAAAAGAGATATTTTTATGGGAGCACAGTCACTTGTTTTTTTTTAATACTTTGCAGATGTACTTTAAATACCATTTATTCTCCTTTCTCATGTTGGATTTCTTACTAGATTACGCAGGAGGCATATATTTAAAGGGAAGTAAGTGCCATTAGTATGTACAACTGAATTAAATTTAAACATGTTCAGTATTTTGAAGTAGCTAGAATTACGTTAGAATTACAGAATCACAAAATCCTTAAAGTTGCAAGGGACCTTTAGAGGTCACCTAGTCCAACTCCCCTGCACACACAGAGTCACCTACAGCAAGAGATGCTTAGTTTCTTTACCCACTGCAGACAAGCCCCTGAGCCCTGCAYACAGCTGCAGCACATGGATTGGAATGATATTTCTTCAGGGTTAAGCACTAAAGCTACACATCTGCTCTGTACCAATGCCATCCACATGCATGGCAAATAGCAGACTGGAATACTTAATTAAGAAAACGAAAACAAATAACTAATAGAGAACTGATCAAAGTTAAACTGAGCTATTAATTGAAAAACAAAAGAGGATGTCACTATACATGCTTACACAGCCTTCAATCTGCTCCTCTATACTTAGTATCCACACATTTCAAGTCCCTATAGCTTCTATCAGTAGTTWAATGCCCAGTTTAGAGCATCAAAAATAATTTCAAAAAGCCTTAGGAAATGGCATAAATCAGGTAGAAAACAATGCAGCCTGTCAGTTACAGAAGGACAAATAAAAAAACCCAAATACTTAAAGACTTTAACATAAAGAARGTTTAAATGTTTATTATTACAAAATAGTTCAGAGGCAGAGTAGGCAATATTACACACCTCTTCTTCAAAAGGGCAATATTAAAGCTAAGCAAACAAGTACTTTGCTTTTTCTTTCTTTCTTAAATTTCGAACTCTGGGTACCAAGTATCATTGAACAGTTTAAATACTTAAGCGTAGAAATTCGGTTAAAAACTCTSCAACATGGAATTCAGCAGAAAGAAAAGTGACATTTACAAAAAGGCATTATAACTAAAATAAGCCATCATAATAAAATTGTAACTGACATGTGTGAATATGCAGTTCCTAATTAGTACTTCTCTTCCTTCCACTCATACCAACTTGTGAGAAGCTTTGATTCATTCKTCAAAATGAGTAAAGCACACAAAAACTAACAGCATAGGTGACAAGATGTGTCAATAACCTGACTTCCCCCCCCACCAATACAAAATGCAATATACAGAAGAGTAAACCCCATTCTCAAAAGCAAAACCTCACTAGTTCCAGCGCATATTAACAGCCACCTGCTACCTTACTCCATTTTAAAGAACACAAAGACATAAAGGACAAACATTTCTACCTTCTTCTCTCTTATCTTCTCCTTCCACATATTTTCCTGTATGCACTGCACAGGCAGCAGTGTACCAAATATTTCGATAGCAGAAGTTTCTTTACTACTGTGGAAGACTAGGGACATTGAGGACATTGTAGTCTGTACCAAACCCACCCTATCAAGAGACTAAACTGGATCAGCCAACTGGCCTCTCCTGTTGACCTTTTGGACTAAATGCTTATGAGTATCTCTCGACCTTATGAGAAGTTCATTAATATAAGATGCAGTAAAAGCAGGTTTCCATGGAGTGACTGCCTTGGAAAGCTTTTACTCCAATATCCTCACATTTAACAGCACTTCTGTCTTGCACCTTCCACAGATTACAACACTTTAGACCAGTATAAAGAATTAAAATGATAATTTTCAAGTGTACAGAAAAACAGTTTTTGACTTGCAGCTGTGGAATCTTTAATATATGGTTGATTCACTTGGTTCTTCTCATTTCACGCTATGGCAATTCCCTTTTGATAAAAAAAACCCACAAAATACCAATTTCTCTCACTCTGGCTGTAACATAAGTGAATTCATCTCTCATCTACTCCTTCCCTTTTATAATTTTTATACACACACACACATATTTATACTGCTGGAGAGTGAATAACTTTTATTTTTAAAGACCAAATAGTAACACTAAGTAACAGAAACACTTCAGCTGCACACACATCTAAGGCATATTATTTAACAAGTTGCTTTGCTGACCCTGTTTTTCAAACTGGGTAATAATTACGTTCATGTAGATGGTTGTTTGGTAACGCAAGTATTTTGAAGCAGTGTAATACACACATCTGTGTCAATATGCACAGATTAATTCATTTTTATTTGCAATCATTACATTCCTCAAATCGTAGCTCTCTAATTTGGTATTTACAGAATCATGATATATCAGCATACCATAAATTGCCACAAACCATGATTCACACTAGCTGGAAGTTTCTCTCTGTCAAGCCATATTAATATTTAGAAGAATTTTTATAYATGTAGGAAGTCTTCCCTGAAAACAACTGAAAACCTTTAACAGGAACAATCCACCTCTGTTCTTCTCTGCAGAACTGCCCATGTCAGAATAACATGTGTGCAAAGTGCTTCGTTCCCATTGCCTACAAAATTTCTAATCCATTTATTAGACATTTTTTCTCTGACAGGAACTCACTAATACCCTAATATCTCTATAGTTTAACTTTTCTCACACTATGGCTGTAACAGAAGTACTGAAATCAAAAAACATTTCTGTGTAAGAGGAATTTTTAAGAGGTTTCTTGCAACAACCTCAAAGATAATGCAAGAAGCTCATTATCATGTATTTTAGAGTTGAAGTCTTTTCTGGCAGGCTTCTTGCTCTCATACCAATGCTACGTGGTTGGAGAGCATGCATTGCATCATTCTGCAACAAGCCACCTCTTGTAACCTACTACACTCTTTACTAGCACTGTTACTTTTCTATATAAGTAGCATACTGCCTGGCCATAGATTCATTAGTACCTCCTGCAATCCTAAGCTATCAAGCACTGACAGTCACAGAGAAGTACTCCCATCCTTCTAGCTAATGACTTGGGAAACTGTGTTATTAAAAGATGCTAGACAATCAGACTGAAAAGTTGATTACTGCTTGAAATTAGTATGGAAGTACTCTTGCTACACTTTTGACTAAATGGAGAACCTACCTTTAAGGTGGATTTCTTCACTATTTCAGAAGTGAGACTGCCCAGTTCACTTAGTTGCACAAGATGCCACCTACCTCTGACTCCCCAGAACAGGCTAGTCCTGAAAGATGGTGTTACATGGCTACGCAATAGTGCTATTATATGGTAATTTGATCCAGCTCTGCTCTGGCAGCATCCCCCACAATAACTTCAAGAAATTCCACATATGGTTACCRGGTTGTTCAACATGAAGGCAGTCAGTACTCCACTGTGAAGTCTACAGCACCTGTACCCATACAACCTACTCATTCCTTCTGGTGTGGCAGAGATTGGGCACTGCAGTGYGAATCAAACCAAAACAAGACAGATGACAAATCAGTGCTCTCCTTGCTGAGCAGCTGACATGTTCCAACATGCAGCTCAACAAGCACACAGATGCCTCTGTCTGGGATGCCATATTGCATAAAACAGACCAGTATCAACTGTCTGAGGATATTTCATGAAAGTTAAGTAGTTTCTGCATCCAAGATTGAAAAGTTATTTTTGCAATTCTCACTTGAATTACAAGAATAGGACTCAATCACTCTAAACTTCTATTATATTAGTCTCCTTACTTCTTCATCTGTAGTAGGCCTATACAAGCACTGCTGTACTTACGCCTACTTTCAAAAAACTGTGGCGGCAGACTAGACATTTTCCTATAAATATTGTTCTTCCTACTGAAAACATTACCACTTCACAGCTCTGAAGGGGGAAGCAAAGACAACTAGATCAGCTTAAACCTGCCATCATCAGTTGTCAACTAGCTTATGCTATCAGATTAGGGATCATTCACTCGCTATACTTCTTGCTACCAAGATATAGACAACAAAAAGAAAGAGCTGATAAAACTTTCAGCATCCTAAGTCAAGGCATTTGCTCTAAGACATCTCTTTGCAAATTGCGTATTTTTACTTCTGTGCCTTGCATCTTTGAGTTAATACATCCAGCATCTATACAATTAAATCTTTATCACTTTGGTTTCTTGCTAGCAGAAACAAAAGGTTGTGTACAACCTTTTCTGGCCTAGAAAKGTTGTACCTCATCAGATGAGGACAGCAGTAATATTATTGCCTCTGTTCATCAGAAATCCTGCTATCACCGTCATGACAATGAACTTGATTCTTACATCCTGCCGAAACAGGACCTTTACCAAGTTTGAGCCATTTCCATATGTTCTTTTTTTCCTTCAATTCAGAGTCCCTGTTCTCATCCAGCTTCAGCAGACAATCTGCCTTTGCAAACTCCCAAATGCTCACTGCCCAAAGCTAAAAAGATGCAGAACAAAACTCCCACACACACTATTCCAGATTTATCTGAGTGCTTTTGTGAACAACTTTAGGTCAGGTCCGTCAGTGAATGAAGGAAATGATACGCAACCAGATGATACAATTCAACACACACACACACAGAAATACTTGTGTGATCATCAGTGCTGTCAGGAAGAGACAGGGTTCAGCTTTGTTCAGGTCGACAATTACCAAATCCAGTTTGATGCAAGAGTAGCAGAGCATTTCTTACCACCATCTACGACCAAGAGGTTGAATTAAAAAAAAAAAATTGAAATTGTTCTCCTGATTCGCTAAAACATCAGAGATTAAAACTATCGCAGGAGAGGAACAGTGAATTCTCTATTGAATACTTAACTATACTAGTAGTATGTGAGCAGTACTATATATACATATATATATATATATATATATATATTAGTATGTAACAGGTCAAGGGAGGTGATCCTGCCCCTCTCCTCAGCTCTGGTGAGATCGCACCTACAGTACTGTGTGCAGTTCTGGGTTCCCCAGAACAAGAGGGATGTGGAGCTTCTGGAGAGGGTCCAGTGGAGAGTGACAAAGATGATTAAGGGACCGGAACATCGCTCATGAGGAGAGACTGAGTGAGCTGGGCCTGTTTAGCTTGGAGAAGAAAAGGTTGAGAGAGGATSTGAATAACGCATATATGTACATGAAGGGAGAATGTAGGGAGGAAAGGATCAAGCTCTTCTCATTGGTGGCCAATGGGGACCTACTGACCACAGGACAAGGGGAAATGGGTGAAAGTTGAAACATAGGAGGTTCCATCTCCATGTGAGGAGGAACTTCTTTCCTGTGAGGGTGACAGAGCAGTGGAACAGGCTGCCCAGGGAGGYTGTGSAGTCTCCCTCTACGRAGGCCTTCAAAACCTGCCTGGATGCCACCCTGTGCCACATGCTCCAGGTGTCCCTGCTTGAGCAGGAAGGTTGAACTAGATGATCTCTAGAGGTCCTTTCGAACTCTGAATATTCTGTGATTCTATGAGCGGACTTCTCCCTAATGGACTTAACCACGGGCTACCTAAAAAGCTGCTGCATTATTTTCTTAGMTGATCTGAACATTCAGTGCTTTGGCAGTCTAGAGTCCTCCTTGCATTCACTTCTTTGCATTTTTAATACAAAAGATAAACATCCAGAACCCAACAATCACTTCAAAAGCCTCATCAAATCTTAACCACCCTTTCCTGATTTCTGCTCAGTTCATCTCTCACCTGTTGATGTTTAATTAGAACAAACACACACACACATCCCAGTGCTAGGACACTTTAGACTGTTTACTCTCTTTCCAAAGGGAATGCTTCCTGTAGATGTGCTCACCTCTATAGCTCTATGTCTCCAGACCTTGCATCCCATTCAATGATCCTGAAATACACTTTACTGTAAAGCCCGTATGCTTTACATGTATCCCTACTGTAAGCAATATGAAAGCATGCTGGTGTGTGATACAGTCAGAATGACAAGGTATAAAAAAAATCTGCTGTAAAATACCTGCAAATCTGTTTCACAAACAAGGGTCTCTGCATCACAAAGAAATTCCAGTCTTTTATGCTATTGGTAAAGCAATTGGTGAATTACTTTAAGTTCTGGTAAACAAATTCTGGCAAAGCCTATTATCTACTTGGGATTTCAGATCAACACCTCATAGAAAGAACACAAATATCACATAGCATTATATTTCTATAGCAAATCTGTCACTGATAAAATTAATGCATTCTTGCCAATCTCAGTATTTTCACATTAAAAGAGTATGTCCAATCACCCTTCCTATATACCCATTTATCCCCCGTTATTATGAGAGACTGTGCCTCAGACAAACTAATCCTGGGAAACCTCCAGGACAAATTCTGCTCATTCCTGATAGTTTCTAGATAGAGGCCATGGGAAAATTTCAGTCTTCACACACTAGTTCATCGTTTGTTGCTGTTTGTAATAAGTTTACATTTTAAAAGAAAGCCATATCTAAATCAGAACTGGTGCCAGGTATTTATGGCTCAGCAATTCTTCTATGGTCACATCATTTCTTGAACAGTGATATGTAGTACAGTGTTTACTTTAAGAGCAACACCTCAAGTGTGTAAGTAATAAGTGGTTTCTTATCCCAATGTAAGAAATCTCCACTAAAAAGAAAAACTCTAGCTTTATATGCAATGTGACAGTGACTCAATTCATTGATCTTCAAATACATGAACAGTTATAAATTGTTGCTATAAAAATGAGAAATTTCCCAACATACCTTGGGTGTTAGATCAGATCGTTCTTGAAGCTTATAAGTCTTGGAAAAAAGGAGTCTGATTATCCATAATATTAGAATTCCCTCCAAAATGAGATGGTAAGCTGGTGCCTGGAAATAAAACAAAAAATGAGAGAGCTGAAGCACTGCAGATAAGGCTTAGAAGCTGCAACAGTGACTGGGAAAGGAAAAAGTTTTCACAAGAGCAGCTGAGAGCTTAAAAGTCTCACGGCCCTCCAGAACTGGGAACTGTTATTGTCCACTAGCAGACCACAGACAGCACATGCTACTGTTGTTAACAAGGAGACCTCATCCTGCCCACAGAGCCCATTTCTGCATTCCAGCACTCAGTTTCACAGGTGCTTTGAGCTGGTACCATCCAATAGGGCCACCAAAAGCAGTTTTGCCCCCATGCAGCTTACTCTCTTGTGTGCACACAAGAGGATTTACGAATGCATACAGCAGACTAGAACATAGAAATGATGCAAGTTAAAGATAGTCTCTTCATATGATTAGCAGCAGAACCAGTTTAAAGCATGCATGGAACTATACTATCACTACTTGACATCTAGTTTTAAATGACTGGTTCAGTTACTCCTTCCCAGCAAGGTTCCAGTCTACACTGCCGAAGTCAACCCCTGCTAAAGTGCACACATATTAATCCATGTTCAACTCAGTCGAAAAGCTCTCAGGTGTATAGTTTCTGGTGGGATCTGACATGCAAACAAGGGACACAGAATGCACCACACATCCAGGAACAAAAGGAAACTGAATACTAAGTTTTAAAACCAGTAAAGAGTTTTAAGGCATTACCAGATTACAAGCAACGCAATTATCATTTGCAGAGCAGTATTTAGTTTTTAGTTTGATTTAGCTTCATTTAGTTCAGCAGAGCGATCAGGAACATGCTGGGATAATGCAAGCAGCCCTTGCAGAGAAGCCACAGCGCTCCTTGCAGACAACTTTCCTGTGTTTCTCCACACCTACTGCTATCCTGAATTCAATGCACTACATTGATCCACCAGCAYTGGTAGCAAAGCACTTCCATACATATACTGCAAAACCTGTAATAAATATCTTTAAAAGTTACTAATCACATAATCACAGAATGGTTAAGCTTGGAAGGGATCTCTAGAGATCAATCATTGCCTGAGGAGTATCAGGTGGTATTTTTCTCCCATTTTACAACACAAATAGGACAATACAACACTAAGAAGGCAATCTCAGTAAGAATAACAGATATTGTCGGCACCACACTCTTGAGAAAAAGTATTTCTCAAAGGGCCCAGTCCAGGGGTTTTCTCTGAGGAAGTGTGAGGCACTCAGCTTAGGAACTCCACATTTACACCTGGCATTACCAAATCAGACATACATAATATCCAACCAGACCTTGAATCCTGAGGAGCCTGTTCACACTTAACACAGAGAAAAACTGAGCTTCAAACTTCTGTGAATAAACTATTCCAGGAATCSTCCAGTATTATTCTGGAGCTCTTCAGTTTCCTTTCCACCTGCCTCATCTTGCAGAGAAAGGAAATCAGAGAGATTAACTCAGTAGAAAGACCCCTGCTAAGCTCCTGTGGATGGGGAAATGCAAGGACACRCTACCTGGCAGCACCATGGAGGAAAGGCACAGAGATGACAGTCTCTGACTAGTCAYTTATTAAAATGCTCACCTTTATTCACCCAAACACACAAACTACACCCTTAGCAGCCTCACAGCTATACCACAGACTGCATTTTTTTCCTAGGGTCTGTTATTTTAAAATACCTGCCATATTTAATCTCTGCTGGTTTCAAATGCCGATCCTGCGTTCCCAACACCCAGCTAATTCGGGAGGAAGAGAAGGAGCCAGACTGCTGACACAACAGCACTGCCCATCACTAGGACACACTTTTCATACCCCGAAACAAAGTCCAGACACCATCGTGCCATTCCGATTTCCCCCGCGGGGACTCCGGCACAGACACAGGTTTCCCTTCTTGTGCAAACACGGCTCATAAACGACCAAGCCTGACTTTACACTGGAGGCACGCCGCCCGTGAGAGCAAGCTTATCCGGCTCCAGCGGCGAGGCGCAAGCCTCGCACGCAAGGTTACCCGCCAGGACAGGGKCAGAGCGGCGTGGTGACCCGCACACGCGTGCCGGGAGGGCTCCGGCCGCGCAGGCCCCTCTCCGGCGGCGGCGGGCCCACGCGCGGCCCTGCTCGGCCTCCCGCCCGCGGTCCCGCGCCCGCCGCGCAGCAGCAGCCGCCGCCGGCGCCGCACCTCGTAGAAGGCCTGCACCATCTCCACCAGCACCCACTGCTGCCCCATGGCCACCGCCGCCGCCATCGCCGCTTGGGCCTCTGCTCCGCGCTGCTCTGCGCTGCGCGGCGCCGCCGAGGGCGGGGACGGGGCCGGGCCGGGCCGCGCGTGGGGGCGGGAACGGGGCCGGCGCCGGGCGAGCGCCCCCTGCCGCCCGGCGGAGCCCTTAACGGCCCCCGCGCCGCGCCGCGGCGGGGCGGGGCAGCCGTTAACGGCCACGACGCCTCTTCGTCACAAATGCGCGTGTGTTTGTGTGCGAGTGTATTATGTGCCATTAAATAAAGAGGTGGTGGCAAGTCTGCCGGCCCCACCATCGTCAGGAATAAAGGTTTTTCAGTGCTTTGAGAAAAACTCGTGTCTCAATGGCCAGACTAGTTAAGCAACAGCCGCCCGCCTCGGCCCCCAGCTGCATGTGAAACCTCAAGGGGAACCAGATCTGAAGTTATGTAATGGTATTTCTTTTTTTTTTCTGATAATGCAGCTGTAATTCTGAGCTCAGGAACTAATAATCCCCCATTTGTTTATTCTCATTGTCATCACAAATCTTTTGTTCGTGGTTTTCTTTTTTTTTTAATTTTCTTTTGACATGGAGACCTTGACACGGAGTAGTGGGGTTAGACTAAAAGATATATATGCTTTCAGTATTAATTAAACCAATTATCATCTGAACTTACATAAGGAGATAAGCTTGGATGTATTTGCACAGGTTTCAGCATTTCTATTTCAAAAGCGGTGTTAAACAACTCAGTGTAATCCAGGTTAACTTTCCCAATACCTGTAGGCTTTCTTTTGCCTCTTCTGTACCAGAATGAAATGGGTTGAGAGAGGGAATCTKCACTTTGATTCTTGATTAACACACATTACTGTTCTTCATGGCTATATATATATATACATATATGTATAATCAGTGACTTTCTTCTTGCTGAAAACAAACAAACAAACAATTTCTTTAATAAATATAATGCTGTTTGTAGCAGCGTGGGAGTTGGTGACTTTCTGAAAGAGCCTGGAGAGAAGCAGGGTGGGAAATGAGTGCCCTTAGCAAGTGAGATAGTGCTCAGTGAAAACGGGAACAAAGGACCCTGCTGTTTCAGGAGACCTTTGGGTGATAGTTCTCTGAAGGTGAACGGCAGTCCAGGGCYTCTCTCAATTTCTTTGGGAGTTCTGCATGGACTGCTCTTCTAGGGACTGCCTTGTCTAGTTGTCAGGAYGGGTAAAGAAACTCCTAAGGCAGCAGCTCATGGGAGCACAGATGACAGTGAAAAGCTTTAGCGCTRTGGCCATCTACCAGCAGTTTCACTCTTACAGTAGGTAGTTTTTTAAATTAGTTAACCTCATTTTGACCTTTGAAATCTGTAATAGCTGTTCTTCCCCCAAACTCTGAACTTGATGCTTGCTTTCTCAAATCCTGGGCTTTGCACAGTAAAGAGGAAAAAAGATGCCATTTGAGCCTGTCTCAAGAGTCAATACAGAGATAATAAATATCCCAATTTCAGCTGCATGAGGGTTATTCTGGCCACTGCTAAATATTTTTGTGAGTCTCCAGCATCCTGCTGCAGAGGAGTACTGGGCTCTGGGGAGATGGCTGCGGCTGCGTCCTGTGCTCTAGGGGATGTGTTTGGAAGCACCAGGTCCCATGTTGCCCCAGCTGTCGTCACCGTATCAGTTGTCTTAGCAGGCTGTTGAGTGAGTTGTAACCCTCGCTCTGACTTTTGGTGTTTGCAGTGTGTATGTGTGTGATTGGCAGATCAAGAAAGACGTTTTGGGAGACCCTGAGCAAGTTGTTTCCAGATGGAACTGCGGTGAGGCTAGTAACGTACTTACCAGTAATTCTGGCAGTGAAATCTGCATGCCTGGTCTGGATTATTTTAGAACTGTGTCTCTTAAAATCAGGAGCCAGATCCTATTGTTCAGTACTTTCATTGTTCCAACACAAGGCAACTGCTACTAATCACTTAAGGCTGCTATACTCTTGACAGCAAAAAAAGAGGGGGAGGTGGAGAGAGGAGCCCTTTGCAATGACAGTTTGTGGCCAGGAAGCAAGGGGAGAGAAAAAAGAAAAGTCTTGAGTCTAGATCTGAACTTAAAGCTCTAACAAAAACTGTAGAAATAGTGCCCTATAGAAATGTCTGTTCCTGAAGTGTCATATACTGCATCTTATTCCAAATCCTCCAGTTTCTCCAGCAGCATTCCTAAATTGTTCTTATTCTAGACCTTCCTCACCAACCCACTTGATTCCAACACTGTGGTTTAAGTTTCCATCTGAGCCCCACGAAGTCATCACTTATGTGGTGGTTACCCGAAATTATTCACTGATCACTCCATAGGCACTAAAAATGGGCCGTAATAGGAACTTTGTTTTTTCTTAACATCACAGATGGCAGCAGTTGCTGGTTATCTTGCTCCCTCTTTTGTGTTAGTTATTTCTCTGGTTTAGGCTTTCTTACTCTGTTAAGTCTGAGAGAGTAGGAACTGGGATGGAAGTGAGGGAATACTTAATTGTGTAGGGAATGACAATGTTTTCTGGCATTCCTGCTTGCATATGGAGGAGAGAGTGGGGAGGGAAATGTGGGAACAGGTTCGGGGAGTCATGCAACTCTCTCCCCGCCCTCCCCCAAGGAAGAGGGATGATGACAAAGGAGATAGGAACACAAAGGTGTGTCAGTCACCATTCTCACAGAGGCTGGGCGGCAAAGCTTAGCTTATAGTGTTTGTAGTGTGTCTGGTTGACTTGTCTGGTTTGTTGACTGTGTGGCTACCCACAAAAAACAATCAAAGAAAGAGACTTGTCTTAAAGCATTGGGAAAGCAACTCTGTACCATCAAGGAGAATAGAGAGTAATATTTACTTTTTTGGGTTGCTTGTTTCTCTACTCTGTGTGTGTGTGTGTGTGTGTGTGTGTGTGTGTGTGTGTGTGTGTGCATGTGTGTAAACCTGATACTCAACCAAGATGAGTCCTGCAGCAGGCGTAGAAAATGTCCCACATCAGTTGCAAAAGGCCTTAAGCCCAGAAAACATGTCTCAACCCAACTTCTAGTGAGAAGCAGAAAGATGTTGTGAAAGAGTATTTTGCAAGTGCCGAGCAAAGAAGACTTGAATATCAGGTTCCATAATTTACCTGACACCTGGAGGAGTAATTGTTCATGAGGCAAGTGGAGTGGAGGATAAATTTCGTACTATCTGAAGCCATGTGCTACTGCATCTTGGAAATGTGCATAATACAATTTGGTGGTGAAGTAGCTCTGATTTAACTTAGCAGAACCCTATCTTAGATCTGCCTAGGAAACATCTGGAAATTAGAGCTTCTTTACACTAGGATTTATTTATGAGGAAGGCACCATTCGGAGCAGTGGTCCATGCTAGCTATCCCAAACTCTCATGGCATCATGAACAAATGTGACATAAAGTGGTGCAAAGTGAAAATGAGACCAAGCCTTTCTGTATAACCAGAGAAGCTAGTTCTGCTCTTAAACATGTGTCAAAAGAGCACTCCCTTTACTCAGTTACTGTTTTGTACAAAATTCATGAATAGCTTTGAGTGCAGGGAATGGGAGTTTTATAATAGTTGTCTTTGTATTTGTATGTTTAGAAGGGTAGCTTTCTAACAGTAACTCTATCTTTTATATTAAACACTTGTCTTAGTCTTCTGTTAATTTGAACTCACCTTTACCTTACCTAATCTCTGTAGAAATATTGTAATAGGTGGCTACAGGCTTGCAGGAAGATATCAGCTATAACTAATCTCTTTTTCTCTTTTATATTTACAAAACAATGAAAAAACTGTCCCAATATTGTACAASTGTTCACAAATATAAAAATAGCTAACAAAATGGAGTATTTCAAATAGAAGAGGTAAACTTTTTATTTAAGTTATTTAAATTGTATTAAAAATGCACTATATTTTAATGCTAAAGTATGCACTTGCAATCCTTAAAGCCACTGATACAAAAGAAAAAAAATGGTGCTATTGTTTTATGATAACAAAAACATACAGAAAAAAATAAGACTTGAAGCTGCTTGCAAGAAAGAACATAGTATACTCTTTAAAGTTTCCTTTCTCAGCCCACTCTTCTATGGGAGTTGTGCCTATCTTGGCAAGAGCTGGGAGCATTAAGCCAACTGAAAAATCAGGCCTGTGGGTAAGAGGGAGTGTTTCTCTAGCACATTCTAGTTCCTGGGCTTTAATCATGGTATCAAAAAGTCTAAAACACTTAGACAAGGTTTAACATGGTAGGTATTACTGGTGATTATTTTTGCCAGCCTAGATATCTACAATATTGGGTACACAGTCAGTAAAACAGGAATATGATACAACTGGATCCCCAGGTACAGTGACTGCAAGCCCAAAAAGTACCGTTTTTTCTTAAATTAAAAAAAAAAAAAAAAAGAAGAAGAAGAAAGAAATTTGAGAATATGAGCACCCTTTTGGAGCATAGTTACAGGGTTTTAAAGAAAAGTAACACAAAGAAACCATGAAAAGTTCCTACTTTGTAGATTTCTAGAACCAACCTTAACGGATTGACAATAATCAACCAAGCATGGCAAATTCAGTTCCAAGTCTTAGATCTGAATTCATGTTAAATCCTTTGACCCAGTAGATCATATTCAAGGAGTTGCCAACACTCCGGAGGGCTGTGCTGCCATCCAGAGGGACCTGGACAAGCTGGAAAGGTGGGCAGACAGGAACCTCATGAGGTTCAACAAGGACAAGGGCAGGGTCCTGCACCTGGGCAGGAATAACCCCAGGCACCAGGACAGATTAGGGGTTGACCTGCTGGAAAGCAGCTCCACGGAGAGGGACATGGGAATCCTGGTGGACACCAAGTTASCCATGAGGCAGCAGTGCCCTCGTGGCCAAGAAGGCCAATGGGATCCTGGCTGCATGAGGAGGATGTTGGCAGCAGGTGGAGGGAGGTGATTCTGCCCCTCTGCTCAGCTCTGGGGAGGCCGCACCTGGAGTATTGGGGGCAGTTCTGGGCTCCCCAGGACAAGAGGGACGTGGAGCTTCTCGAGAGGGTCCCGCAGAG